AACAAAACACAAAACAATATTTAGGGACTCTTCTCTAAAGCACCCCCTCTCCAAAGAGTTTGTGTGTTTTATGTGTTTTCCGTTTTTTTCGGTTTTTTTTCCCAATGTTTTTTGTGTTTCTTCCAAATTAACTTTTTGGTTTTTCCAATGTTTTTTTTGTTTGTCCAAGGGTTTTTTGGTTTATCTTTGTTCCTGTGTTTTCCTGCCTGCTGCACCGTTCGGTCTACCGGATTTGCAGGGGCCATTTTTTTCCAAGCAAGAAGCGTCACCAAAGGAAAAAACAATATTGCATTTTTTCAAGGAAACTTGCATAAAGGCATGCCCGCACTGTCCTCAAGGAATACAGGGGTCTCTTAAAGAGCAACTGCTTATTTAAGATAAGAATACCTTTTCAAAATAATGTTCGACTTTCTGCAAGGAATTTGATTTTTGTTCAAATGACAATTCCAGTCCTGCACTTTCTTACAAAAACATCACCCTCTTTCGAAGGGATTGCTATATACCTATATATGAAAAGGTTCCCTTTCGCACAAGAACTAAACAATGCCATACTCTTTTCGCAAGTACTGTTGTGTGTCCTGAAGGCTACTTTCTGAAAGGAACGCCACACACTTTTGAAAGCAATACTGGGTATACATGTAAAAACATTAATATATAATATATTTCAAAAAAGTATCATGTAGTGAGTTATGTGATTTCAAAATGATGCTATAAGTTTTCCAAATTAATGTGGTTTCTTTTTCGAAGGAAGATTGCCTAACACCAATGTTCAAGTGAATGCATTTCATGAAGTCATCATGCATTTTGTTAAAGGAATGGCGCGCTCTTGAAAAAGTAGTTTGTATATTTATTTTTTCTCTTAGAGAGACGCTACCCGTATCTGAAATAGTACTAACTCTATGGAGGACATACCATATCTGTTCCAAAATATATGGAAGACATGGTGCAGTTTTTCAAAAAGAATGCCGTGCACATCTCAGGGGGCAGTAATGATACACTGTATCAGAGGAATGCTGCCCTCTCTGCGGAAGAATGCTGCAGGGACATGCGCCACAACTTCCTTAAGGACAGGAATGCCACATTCTTTTCAACGATGACTGATGAGAAGCATGCTGTTACCCTTAAAATCTGAGTTGATACTGTGTTTAAAAAACACGTTTTTCCCCCCAACGGCCTAAGCGAATGGGGCCTTCAGCCCAGAATAGCTCCGGCGTGCACTGCTGCAGGCGCCGGTCAAGTTCAACAAGGTTGCGGACAAGGATCCGGAGAAGGTGTGGGAGGCTTTGGTGCAGAGCCAAGTCACGATCAACAGGGTTCCGGAGAAGGTTCCAGAGAAGGTTCCGCAGAAGGTCTGGGAGGCTTTGGTGCAAAGCCAGGTCAGGTTCAACATGGTTCCAAAGAATATTCCAGGAAGCCTGGTGGAAAGCCAAGTCAGGTTCAACAGGGTTCGGGAGAAGGTTCCGGGGAGGCTTTGGTGCAGAGCCAGGTCACAAGGTTCCGGAGAAGGTTCCGAAGAAGTTTCTGGAGAAGGTCTGGAAGCTTTGGTGCGTTGCCAGGTCAGGTTCAACGGGGGGTTCGGAGAAGGTTCCGGTGAAGGTCTGGGAGGCTTTGGCGCAGAGCTAGGTCAGGCTCAACAAGGTTCTGAGAAGGTTCCGGTGAAGGTCTGGGAGGCTTTGGTGCAAAGCTAGGTCAAGTTCAACAGGGTTCCGGAGAAGGTTCCGGAGAAGGTGCGGGAGGCTTTGGTGCAGAGCCAGGTCAAGTTCAACAGGGTTCCGGAGAAAGTTCCAGGAAAAATTCTGAGAACTTTGGTGCAGAGGCACGTCAAGTTCAACAGTTCCGGAGAAGGTTCTGGAGAAGGTCGGAGGCTTCGGTGCAGCCGGTCAGTTTCAACAAGGTTCCGGAGAAGGTTCCTGGAGAAGGCCTGGGAAGCTTTGGTGCAGAGCCAGGTCAGGTTCAACAAGGTTCCGGAGAAGGTTCCGGAGAAAGTTCCAGGAAGCGTGGGTGCAAAGTCGGGTTCGGTTCCGGAGACGGCCTGGGAGGCTTTGGTGCAGAGCCAGGTCAGGTTCAACAGGGTTTCGGCTTTGGTGCAGAGCCCGGTCAGCTTCAACAGGCTTCCGGAGAAGCTTCCGGAGAACGTTCCGGAGAAGGTGTGGGAAGCTTTGCTGCAGAGCCAGGTTAGGCTCAACATGTTTCCGAAGAAGGTTCCGGAGAAGGTTCTTTGGTGCAGAGCCAGGGCAGGTGCAACAGGGTTCAGGAGAAATTTCCTGAAAAGGTTCCAGGAAGCCTTGGTGCAAACCCAAGTCAAGTTCAACGGGGTCAGGAGAAGGTTGCAGAGCAGGTCTCGGACCAACGGCTTTTTCGGTATACGGAACACGCACACAGTCTCCCGGCCGTCAATCCAATTGGAACAGTTACTAATGAACTATGTAACGATTGGCACAGAGAAGACTTCCCGTCCAGTGCAGCTTATTTCCTGTGCACCCTGTCCTCTAATCCACAGTAGCCATGCCAGCCCTAGGGACCGTTGCAAAACCTCTTTTGCTCGAATTTCGCAACGCTTGGTCCCGACAGATCCGAGCACTTTACTATCAGACCTTCGCCGTCAAATGCCCGAAAAGCCTACATCACTTGCAATCACTAGCCTTTCTCCCCAAAGTATTTAATCTTGACGTGCCATGGCAAGCTCTTGAATTGCAAACGGTAGCAGACAAATGTGGCATCCAACCTGAATGTTTTTACCATCCTAGACCCCTGCTTACTCAGCAATTAATCAACTCCCCTGAGTTCAATCTCTTGTGTGCCGATGCCACGCGCTATCGGCTGGAAAAGAAACAAGACTGTTGCACTGCACTGCGTCAGATAGTCAGTTGGAATATCACAGGATGGCGAACACTCCAATGGTCCAACCCTAAAACAAAAGCTATTTTGCGATGTGCACGTAAAGGAATCGTTTGCCTCCAAGAAACGAAATGGAGCACGAGCACTGCTACCAACTTTCTTCAAACGTACCCCGGGTTCTCAATTGCTCACTCACCGGCCAATCCAACAGAAGGTGGGGGGCTTTCAGGAGGGGTTGCAATCCTCATCCCCTGCACGTTTCGGCTACTTTGACAATGCATCATCACCCCAGGCAAGGCTGTAGCGGCTCAGGTACAAACGCGCACAGACCAATTTTGGATCATATCAGCATACTGTCACCCACAGTCAGTCCGAGATGACTGTAAAGCAATTGAACGCTGGCTAGCTGCAGCCAAGTGGTAGATGAACCGTGTTTTCTCCTTGGTGATTTCAACCGTGGTGATGCACTTTTTCCTGCCGACTGGCAAGGCCTGCTGGAAGCTGCCCGGGGTGAGAATGTTATTCCTGACCAGCCTACATTCTGGGGTTCCTGTGGTTCGTCCTCATTAGATAAGGTAATCCTACCCATGGAATATCCCAACAGGGGTCTGATTCAGTATCAAATATTCTACGACCGCCTTTTCGAATCCTCAGGCCATGCATGCATTTCCATCAAAATGTGCGATCAACCCCCAGTAGCCAGTAGCGCTGACTTACCGACTCACATGACCATGCCTGCTAGTTCTAACAAGTAAGCATTCATTTGCTACAGCTTGAGGAAGCGAGCATTTACTGACATATAAACTGACCAATACAAACATATATATATATATAACCAAGCATATAAACACATAGAACAAACAAAACATAAAACCAAAAGAAAACAACCTAAACGTAATCCGCTGTAAATGATTCCACATCGGACAAACTCGCCAATCAAGCATGGATGCATGAAACACGTGAAACCCTATGGATCGTAACGCGCAAGATTCCCACACTTGTTTTTTCATTGCCAGTAAGATGTGACAGCTTCACATCAGAAGTCAATTTGGATCGATGGATCATTTCACCCATCGATTTCGGAAACCGATTTGGTTAGAGGCGGAATGTCTCCTAAAGGAGGACAACGCAGATGGTGAAACCGTGTGCAGCTCGAGCACAAGCTGGTGTTCAGCACTGCAGAAAGCAACAAATAAGTTAAAGCAAATGGTCAAATGGGGATAGTTCCGAATGAGTGAACACCCGAGAATCAAGGTCTACGGCCGGATGCTTGGATGCATAGCTATGGGCACAGCAGGCAAATCTCGGGTAAATGCAGGAAATCGGATGCATACGAGCGGATGCAGTAGGGCCAAAGCTGCCGGTGGTAGGCAAAGGACTACCAGTGAAATAGTATACCACTCTTGCTATAGGTGACTTATGGTCATGACATAGACATTGGGGAAGCAACAGCGAGAAGAAACAACAATTTGGTTATCAGACCTACCAAGAAGAAGGAAAGACCATAAAGTCAATAACAAGGAGTGGGAGGGAGGGTTTTGAAAATAAGCTGAATGCTTACTTGAGCCAAAATGTAATGAAGCATTACATTGATTAAAACACAAACGAAACAAGTACGTTAAGAGTTCTAACAAGTAAGCATTCATTTGCTACAGCTTGAGGAAGCGAGCATTTACTGACATATAAACTGACCAATACAAACATATATATATATAAAACCAAGCATATAAACACATAGAACAAACAAAACATAAAACCAAAAGAAAACAACCTAAACGTAATCCGCTGTAAATGATTCCACATCGGACAAACTCGCCAATCAAGCATGGATGCATGAAACACGTGAAACCCTATGGATCGTAACGCGCAAGATTCCCACACTTGTTTTTTCATTGCCAGTAAGATGTGACAGCTTCACATCAGAAGTCAATTTGGATCGATGGATCATTTCACCCAACTTCAACTATCGAAACAAGGACTTCTGAACGCCACACCAAACCCCTTCGAAAAAGTGTGAATGAAGGACTGGCAATGAAAAGATGGGAATCAGAAACGAGAAACTGGAAGTTTCCACGCCACCTTGGATCCCTTTGGGAATACAGTTGGCTGATGAAATGGAAACCAAATCTCGGAAAGAGGCAGACGGATGCGTTCGGATGCTTTCAAATCAGGAGGTAGTGGATCCTCCAAAGGCAATCTGGAAATGCGGTCAGCGAGGTCATTGGAATGTCCCGCAATGTGGCTGACATCGAGTTCTGCATGAACTGTTGAAATTAACATACACAATCGTTCCACAAAATAGCACAAGGGAGCTTTGGTGGTAAATAAAAAATTTGAGTTGGCTTCGGCAGCAGTATTGTCACTTAAGCTTTTCAGTGTAATGGAAACTCGCTGGCCAGGAAGAAAATAGCATAGAGCGTAAAGTAAACAGAATTGTGCAAAAGTTTCATATGAGCTGATATCTTTCTGCATATCTGCATTGACAGGGATGTCCAGGGCTAGAAAATCGGCGGATGACCATTGCTCACTGAACCATCTCATATCTCCATTGGCGAAACGTAAGAAACCTCCAACTTGGCAGCAATCTCCATGGGCACAAGCGTCGGCGGCAGCTTCACCCGCCCATGGCAATTTTGGATTCATTGAAACGAAAGGAGTTGCATGTTGGAGCCATTCTTGGTACATACGTAGAATCCGTTGAGAGCTGGTGCTCAGTGATCGTTTATTGGAAGTCGGGTCAAGGATTCGTAACCAGATCCGCTTGTCGGATAAACGGCAGTTTCTAACATCCTCCAGGGATTGAAATGGTTGATGACGCACAGATAAAAGCTTGCCTCCAATGGGTATGGCTGTACCCACTGGTCTGATCGTGAATTGAAGGTTGTCGGACAAACAGGCTATTGTGGTTAACCAGTATCCAGGGTCCACCGAAAAAAGGGTGGCTGGGGCCTTGTACAAGTCTGCATACAAGTGATGAATAAATGCTCGCATGACAGGAAAGATTTGCGTTACCCAGAGGAGCAAACCCACAAACTTCTCAATTTGTTTCTTGGAGGTCTTGGGGCGCTGGAGCAGGTCTGCAATGAGTTTCAATAACTTGTCACGTTTGGCATGCTGCAATCGGATGATACCTGTGGAAAAATTGAGGTTCCAGCCAATCCAACTGACCTCCCTGTCCAACTCTGCTTTGCGCCAGCTGATGGGCAATCGGAAAGCTTGAATGACAAGCGTCACTAAAGTCGCAGTGACCGGGAGAATATCCATACGTTGAACCAAAAGCCAATCATCGACAAATAGAAATAAGGAATGAGCCACATAGATTACCAGGTGTAGGAGCCGTGTCCAAAAGGCCCCCAACCTCCCCCACCAATGGGCGGAGAACTTGGCTCCGAAGGGGCAGACCTTATAAAAGTATAACTTGTTATTCAGACTGAAGCCCACTAATCCACGATGATCTTCCTTGATGACGCACAATTTGTGGGCAGATTTGGCATCCAGGCCTAGGGCGCCCAGCTCCTCAGAATGTTCCCTTAAAGGGTAGCAGCGCTGCACCTCTTTAGCGCTGGGCAGTTGTTGGTGCTCCTGGATGTTACAGTTGGGATTTGTTCCGCATACTGTATAGTCAACTACTAACCGAGGTGGGCGTGAATCTGAGACGGCAACGCCAAGTTTGCCTATGGCAACCCCATGCGGCCAACGTTTTGGCATCTTCTACACTGCCATCAAAACAAATGAGCCAACCCTTGGAGATCTCTTCGTCCACCAGTTGTTGGGTGACATCAGGGTGATCCTCTGCGCTCTTCCAATTTGTCAAATGGATGGATAGGTCTGGTGCAGCAAGATCTTCTTTGTCCGGCTTCATAGCAAAAACATGGGATGGACGAATATCCTCATTGTAACCAGTAGATACCCCCGCTATCAGGTCTGGAAATAAATGAACATCAGGGTCATGCATATATTGGCTGATTGCTGCAAGGGCGTGGAGGCACAAGGGCTGGTCCTCTCGAACTTGCCAGTCCAATGGTGATGTCAGCGGCAGCAAAGAATCAAGAGAATTGCGGAATTCGTTGATGATCCCTTCTGAAAAGGGGGGATCTGTTTTCTTTTGTAAAAAATGGGAAACAAGCATCTTGTGCCAATTGTTATTAAGGATACGGGGGATCCAGTGGTCACGGACTGATCTAAACAAGTTAGAGGAGTGATCGGGTGGTTTGGACCAATCTGGAGTGGAATGCAGGCCTCCCCCATCCACAAAACCTTTGGGGTTTTGAAACAATTGTTTGATGGGAAATAAATTGAAAACATTGGACCATGAAATTGGTGTAGCCAGGGGAGTAAGGAGCACTGAAACTTTTAACGCAAAGGCCTCTGCAAGTGCCTTAGGATAGGCCGCTGATCGTCTGCTCAAATAGACGCCATGTTCATCTTTGACTCCTGCAATAGAGGGATGCGCCTTGGGTCCATGATTGCACGTAGCTGCTAACTCTGCCAGAGGTTGAAATGATGAAGCAAATAACCATGTCTTCATGATATTCCAGTGAAATGCACATGCTGCTAAAAGAATAAGGGCACATCCTGACAGGCGAATCCATTCTTGGGTGCAATCTTCGCTCCAACTCATGGCTCCCGAGGGTTGTTCAACATGTCCATGACCGCCCGAAGAATAAGTTACTGAAACTGAAGTGACACAGCGATCCAGGAGTGTGGCACTATCTTGCAATCTTTGCGTCTCTTCTGGGGTCAAATTAGGAACTCCACTCAGCATATCTGGTGTTCGAATGGCCTTGGGTCCCCCGGGTCGGAGTTTTAGCAGGCTATATTCCGTACATGAAGGAGACGCTGCTGAATACCCCACTACTCCAGAGCCGCAAAGACGTAGGAGTTGTTCGTAGAAGGAATCATCCAGTAAATCCATTCGGGAGCCCACTAACAAATCAATGGAGAGTGCCAGAAAACCTAATTCGGAAACTGCCGAAGAGAGAGGTGCATCCACGCCACTGCAAATATCCAAAAATATCTTTGAACCCTGACAACTCCATGGGGTGAGTAATTCTTGAGAAAAATTGTGCATTGAAGAATTCAAACTCGAAGTCACCACATGATCAAGCTCTGGTCGATAGTCAGACTGCTCTGGTTGAGGATCCGGCCGATGTTCCGTCTGAATATTGGGGTCCGTCTCCATGTCAGCAACTGTTGACAGTGGGGCCAAAATGGCCTGTGATACTTCCTGGTCCTCCCTTGTAGGAGTTTGAAACATAGGTGATACTGATTGCAACTCTTTGGCAACTACACAACCACTTAGTGGAGGAAGCTCTGAGTCTTGGACGGCCGGTGGTGATGAAACTGCAGTCTGTAACGAATGTGTTGCTGCCACAAGTCAGTGCGGTGTTTTATCGTGGTCCATCGCGGCATGGTTGGCACCGCAAGCTGTGCCGTCAGGTTTGGGATATCCACAAGCATGTTCATAGCGGCAATCTTTATTGGAGCACTTGCCGGATTGAAATCTCATACAGAGAGTCTTTTTCTGAGAGCCTCGCCAAATCTCTGAGAGCCATCGGACGCCCGGTTTGGAGCCACCTTTGGAAGACTTTGCGCCTTTGGAGCCACCTTTGAGACCCTTGTTGCCTTTGCTAGGAACGTTGGCTGGAGCTTGCGCAATTTTTTGAAACCGTGGTCTGGGCTGCAGGAGTGTAGCTAGATCCCCTCTGTTCTGAGTGAATTCCAAAAGTGCATCATCCAATGACCATGTGGAAGATTCGCAAAGTTCGGCAATGTGATACCAAATGGTTTTATCGGCCTGCTGGGCTTCCAACATATTGGGAGCTCGTAAACCTGAGTCCTGGTCCAGGCGCACTGAAAGAAGGTTCATGAATTTCAGAGTATATGCCCGGAGTCTGTGTAAATGACACGCCCCCACAAGTGCCCACGCATAATTATGGATCTCAAACATCTGACGAAGCGCATTCAGACCCAGCGATTGGTTATTTATTTCCAAAGAAGGTACTTCGTCAATCAATAGCTGGTGAAGCTGCAGGTTCTCTAAGCGCGGGGCTTTGGATGCCCTGCTCATGGCCATGTCTTCTGAACGAGACATTGACATGCGGAATTTCCAAGGAAGCCACTTGAAGTCCTTCTTCTGGGTGAGCTGATGTGCAAGGGCAAGTAATCTGGAGCTTGGCTGGGTATCTGAGGTCAGAACCTCTGACGGATAATTCTGCAAAAATTGCTTCTTCAACGATGTTACCGTTTCATTGTTCAACTTTGGTGGGAAAACTTCTGACCATGATCCATCTGCAACAGATCCTGAGTGTGCGGCCATCCCTGAACCATCAGTAGAGGAACCTTGAAGGGTTTCTGGCTGTTGTGCGCTCCTCCAAGCTGATCTGATGGAAGCTTTTTGCAAGAGGGTCAAGTGATCATTGTGAGGGCAAAGCTCAGAAAATAAAGCATCTGTAAACTCTGCTGCAGTGGCCGCTATTTCTCGGAAGGTTCTCAGGGTCCAACCATCGGCCATAATCCCTGAAGCCAGTGCCGGTTCCACGCCAGCATCGGCTAAAACCGTTTCCAAAGGTTCTGCCATGGAGACGTGGTCGAGGGTAAAAAGGAAAGAATATGGTAGTCAAACACTGAAATGACTGGGACATAATTATTGGTATAAATGGTTGAAACCCGGGCGACAACAAATGAATTTATGGTGGGAATTTGTGATGAAAAATTTATCCATGATAGTGCTGCTACGTAATGCCGCATCAAGTCAGACTGCATCACTGTCCAGTGAGGCGAGCCAGCACGCTGTAACGAAAAAACAAAATAAACGCTCAATGGCTAGGATGGCCATTAAAAACCTTGTTGTCATGACATGGTCATCACTTGGATGTGCACTCCATTGCAAATGCTCGGTCCCCGAGGCTGGAGTTTATGAATGACATAGCCTATGGAACCCATAAGAATTGAGAAACACTGCACATACAATTGGAAAAACTGTGAAAAATGATCAGTATGTCTGGTCCGCCAGAAGAGCAGCACACGGCTGCATTTTTTTCGATGGCAAGCGGCCGATCGGTTATACCAGCATGGCCTTCCAGGCTTTGACACAAGCGGGTCTTTGGCAAAGGTGCAAGCTAGGGCAGCACTTTGGGCAAATCGAGCCCGATCCGGATCCAAGCGGGCTCCACAAGCAGCTTGGTAGTGTCGCCCTTGGTAATAGGGGAACCAATCTTTTGTTGTGCCAATCATTGCATGTTGAACATAGGAAACAGACGCAACCATCACTTCGTCTGGCTCGTCTATAGGAACCACCATCTTAGGGCGTTTGGCTACCCTCGCTGAGACCTCTTTGGAAACCTCTGAATCGGAGGAGTCCGAGGAGGATGAAGTGTCAGAACTCCCTGACGAAGATTGTTCATCGTGAGCCGCTGGAAGTTGGGGCGACTCGGGCACCTCAACTGGCTTGTTGAAATCGAAGCAGAGCCATTGCCTCGCCATAGAGGTTTTTCTGAAGAACTCGATCTGGACTGCCGGTTCCACAACTGGTAACTGTCCACCTCGGTGTTGGGGTGTGACAAATCTTTTTCCACGTCTGATACTGTCAATCAGCTTTTTGTGGTATGCCAGCTGGCCGTGGACGTCATCACGGCTATATAGCCTCAAGCTCCGTGAGGCACTTTGGCGATGATGGCCTTGAAGAAGTCTCTCTTCGGCGGAGACCTGGCCATCAGCCATAAGCTGCGACCCCCATGAAAGGAGCGTGGACTTCATTGAATGGACCGATAAATGGTCGGCAGTTTGTGGGGTGCTCTTCCATGGGAGCCGAGCCATATGGCGAATCCATTTCAAAGCCTCTGCGTATTGCATTACTGACCATGGTAACTCAATACCATCTTGACGCATGACCGGAAATAAAAAGTCCGGGACTGGCATGTCCAAGTCAGTTGTTTTTGCGTGGTGCCACAACTCATCCAAGGTGGACAGCCATTTCTCTGTCCATGAATATGTACCCAGGGACAAAAGGCCATGCGCCACAAATCCCCATGGCTGACCCCTGGATGATGTCTTGGTTCGCCAACAGGTCGCTCGAAACGACTCCCCATCAAAGCAGAAGCTTTTGAAACTGCACCTTTGTGCGTCAACAAATCTGAGTCCACCCCACACACATGCCAGAATGGACCCCAGTATAATAGTCTCGGATGGTGTACAAGCTGCCATAAGGATTCTCCGCTCGAATTGCACAATCGTATACAGAGAAATGGGGATGGATTCCTTGAGCTCTTTGGGAATTCTGCTTTTTAGGAAACTCTCGATCAAAGGGCGCCACGCAATTTTGAGCTGCTCCACACCTGCATGGGTGGAAATCCAGCGAATAGCCTTAATTGTCAGTTGACAACCAGATGAGCAATCGGAGCTCTTGGCAAGTGATGTCGTAACCAGTGCATCGGCCAATTGGGCCTCCGTCAGTGTACCCAATGATAAATCCAGTGATTTGAGGGTCTTGGCAAAACTGGTCCAAGCCTGAAAATACCGCAACAGTGTTGAAGGGGCGAACTGGTCCAAGAGTCGCGCAGCATGTTGCGGGGCATGACTGGAGGCTTGCAAAGCCACTGCAACTGTTGAAACTTCACCCAAGTTTTTGGTGTCGACGCTGTTAAGAGGCCGTGTGCTGTCTTCATTTTTTTCGGGTTCTTGTCTTTGCGTTAGTAGCGGGGTGGGGGGGGGATGTTAACGTTCATTGCGACTGCTAGGTTCTATTCCACTTCCACACATACGTCATGCTACGCTGGTGTATCTTCTCTTGCACTTCCACACATACGTCATGCTACGCTGGTGTATCTTCTCTTGCACTTCCACACGTACGTCATGCTACCCTGGTGTATCTTCTCTTGTACTTCCACACATACGTCATGCTACGCTGGTGTATCTTCTCTTGCCCTTGGGCGGTGCCAGTGATTAACTTAGAACGCACAAGAATTCATGTCAAAACAAAACTTTTCGAGTTCAATGGTTGTCATAAAAATGTTCCATTTTGTGAGGTGAAATGCTTAAAAATGAGTAAAATCGGTGAACACTACGTGGTTTTGTGCTCATTGAAACACATTGATATGATGCAAAAGTGTGAAAAACCCTCAGGAAATTGAGATTTTACACTCATACTATGAATGTGGAACTTACACCACTGCACGGCCTCTTATCAACGCCGTTACCAAGTTTTTCAGTATGGCCGACCATTGCTGAACCAACCAATCCGATTGAGAGGGATGTTGTAACCTCAATAATTGACCTGACGTCTTGGTCTGCTGTCTTTTTGATGTCCCCACTGGCAAGAGTGGAAAGCTGAGTCCAGTGCGGCTTGATGGCAACGATCTCGAAAAAGAAGGATCTACAGGCCCTAAAACTGTTGCATCCCCTGAAAGCGGAATCCGAACAGGCAGAGGAACTGTTGCTGATTTTGCCCGAGCTTTAGGGATAGGAATGGGTAAACCACCAAGTGTCAAGGCTGGGCCAGGATACTGTCGATGCGCCAGATGACTATGAGGGACTGGCAATGGTGCTGCGCTCTTAGGTGCAACTGGACATGCATCTGGTTTTTGAGTCTCAGAAATCAGAATCCATTCTGTCTCACTGGGATTCATTTGAACTGTCACTGGATGAAACGATTGAATCGCTAGATACCGATGGGCCACTTGACACTGTTGGAGATCCTGGGGCTCGAACACGTTGCACTTGAGGAGATTGTACAGCTGAAGCTGATGAATACTCAAACAGTAACAACAAGCGTGCGTTGGAATTTCTCAAATGTCTCCAGTCCAATTGACCTAAATGAAGCAAAATGCAACTGCGAATGCGACGATCTGGGCCCAAAGCGAAGAAAATCGATCTGAACCGCACTGTCCCCACACGTGTGGGAGCTCCGTGTGGTCGTGCCAATATCAGGCTGCTGCCATCAGGCCGACGCCCCAGGAAAATGGAAGACATGCATGAAAGTCAAAAAATTGTCTGTGAAAGTCAAAAAATGGTCTGGTTGACAAATTTCTGGGAACACATAGGAAAACAGCCCACACCCCCCCGGGGAAAAAAGGGGTTGAAAAACCAACCAGTGAAGCAAAGCAAAACGAGTGCAAAAAACAACGAGGCTGTTGTTGAGTGAACCCAGGGTTGAAGCAACGAAACATGGCTGTAGGGAAAAAGCGCTTCCTTTTTTTGAAAATAAGCTGAATGCTTACTTGAGCCAAAATGTAATGAAGCATTACATTGATTAAAACACAAACGAAACAAGTACGTTAAGAGTGTCTTTCAACCTGGAAAAGATCAACATGACACGAGGAAAGTGTGGCCCTCCTTACAGTCACTCATACGAAGACTCTGTGTAGTAGCGCGACCCACCTTTGAAATGTTGCAAACAATCTGAGCACCCTTTATTTAAATTTGTCCAAACGGCTACTTCATGAGCTGCTTGCTACCCTGCCCGGTTTTTCACCTGTGCTCACCGACTTCTGCCAATCAGCCACCACCATTACAGTACCTCGGACCTTCCTATGGAAGTGCTTCGAGCTACTGGATTTGCAAATACAACAACAACACATTATTACGGCAAGCTCTACGCCCTGTTGGCCTCGTGCTTGCTGTTGCGCCAGCTCAACACTGATCCATGGTTGTAGGTGCTGCAGCTGACGGCCGGCATGATAGGCGTCAAGTTGTGGCAACACCATATCTAGCAGAAATATTAGGGTGCGAAGAGAAAATCCACGAAGGAATTCGGCAAGCAGGTTCCTCATGAGGTGTCCCCCTTCAGCATGAGCCTGTCCAGGGATGGGGATCATGTCAATCAGTACCTGGCGCAGATCCTGTTCAGTAACGAGGGGATCATCCCTTACATCTCTACCGTCACATGGTACTGTATGCAGGTCGGAGCATCCATCACCAGCAGCCTGGAGTAGCGCACTCAGGGTGCGTTTGCAATGATCTGGGAGATCGAAACTAACCCATGAGAGCACTCGCAGAAGCCCTTCACATCGTATCCCATGCGGGATGACCTCAGGGGTCGTGATTTGGAGATAATCTATATGATAGGTGCCTTCTTCAATTGGGGTAAATAAAAGGTGTCCATATGCATGCCTGGCCCGGCCACTCCACGATGGATGCCCGTCTATGAGGACAATGTTATAGCTCAGGTCTGTGAGGGTGTCTGGACGCCACACGCAGAGTCGGTCCTCGAGACAATGAAGGAGCACCACCCTTCGTTCCCCAGTTGCAAGACGCAACATTTCAGGCGGAGAGGCAATTGCTGCTACCTTGGTGGTACCCGGGAAGCAATCAAATTCATTGAGCACTTCATGGATTACGAGTCCAGTATACGATCCCGCAGAGAAACCGAGGACGTCAACATCCCTAATCCCTTCTGGAACGGGTACCGTCACATACTGTGGAAAACAGGCTCGCAGAAACAACAGTTTGCCTTGCGGGTGATAGCACCGGAAGATCTGACGAACTGCAGTGACCCACGTGGGATGTGGTGGTCTTGCATGCGCTGGCCGGATCGTAGCCGCAGTCAACAACCGTATGGCTCGGGTGATCAAAAGCTTGTGA